TCTTTCAATTCGACGAGTCAAGAGAAGCTAGAATCTATGTCCTCAAATCCACTTAACACCGACCCTCACCTGACGAGATCAACGCGGATGCGTAAAAACTGTGGGATCATTGCTTGTGCTCAGTCAGGTGCTATCTTCAACTCAAAACGTCTCATTGTTTACATTCTGACTAGCAAGTTTACAGTAGCTGTAATACTGTAAAACTCTCTGATTCCGATTAAACAGACACGAAGAACGCGACGGAACTGAACTCCGAGCGAAAACGAACTTCACTCGTGCACAGAGTGACGTCAACAGGTTGGGTAAATTATAATGCGTCGATCGCAGTGCGGTTGCGTATTGCATGAGTCCGCAGTTTTTTGTTTTGTTTTGTTTTGTTTTTTTCTTTGGGGAGGGGTGATGACCTCAGCTGGCATCGTACGATGTCGGATGATTAAAACGTGTGAGCGTGACTGCATGTTTTGTTTATTTGTTTGTTTCTGAGAAGACGAAAGTAGGCTACTTATCGTTGGTTCGAATAATTGAATATCGATATTAAGGTAGTAGTAGTAGTAGTAGTAGTAGTAGTAGTAGTAGTAGTAGTAGTAGTAGTAGTAGTAGTAGTAGTAGTAGTAGTAGTAGTACATATGCGTGTATGCAGTGGATCAAACTGTTGCCCCTCCAAACTTACAGAAACACGAAAGTCGAAGGAGCAAGAAAAAAAATTAGAAATAACACCCGAGATTCGTAACGCATAAAATTTTAACAATTTCAAAGACCATAAGATTGAAACGAAAGCAGTAAATTGTAGATTTCCAGAGATCCCATTGGGCCAACGTGTGACGACGCGAGTATTTTGCTAGATCTACGTCTTTTTGATTTTTCATTATCAGCTTTTTTCTTCAATCAAAATCACATTTAACAAAAACTAAACAAACAGTTTTGTGTCAGGGTTGATTCCAATTTTGCGTGGAAAGAGAGTAAAAAAGAGTGTAAAAAGAGGGAGGTGGGGTGGATCTGCTCTAGTTTTCTCTATCAATTCAGTAAGTGCTTGCAAGTCGCCTAAAAATAGGAAAATAGAAAACACTATCGGCCGTTTACGATTTTTCTGTTCGTCTTTTCAATGCAGTGTTCAAAACATATTTCGTTTTCCATGATATAAAAATTGCTCTTCTGCCGGAAATAAACAAATATTTTATTTGGGAAAATCGGTCACTTTGGTCGCCTAAAACGTCCGAACCGCTTAACTTTCGAATTTGAACAAATTAACGGTGGTTCAGAATGATTTAAAGGGTACGCAGTCATATTAAAGAATCCAAGTTAATGTAGTTTAATGTTCAGTTTTTGTTAGTTTCGTTTAGATCTAATCTTGGGAAAGTCCGTCTTCTATGACGTCATTGTAAACAAGCGAGACTTCTGTATACAAGCAGTGCGCACTGCACCCAGAATGACTTGACGATCGATTTTTTAAAACCCGTTAATCGAACAAGGTACCAAACTAGTATTAGAATCTCTATAAAAAGTTGTTCCCGCATCCGGACATTAGGGGTTGCCTTGTTAGTGAGACAACTTCGGCATAATATTGTGGTAGGGGGCCAGTTCCTTTCCACGCCGCCTTTACTTCCCCAACTCGAAGTTAGGTACCCATTAATGCTGGGTGGGCAGGTGGGGACGAAAAAAATCGTGTCCGAACCGAGGCTCGAACCCAGAATTTCCACTTCGGAGACGAGCGCACTAACCGCCCCGCCACCGCACCCTTTAATATATATATTCTTTCTTTTCTCCCCCCCCCCCCCTTCCTCTGATACCCTTAGTATGTCGAGGGGATGTGCTGGTTTCGGTCCTGTGCTAGGTGTGTGGCGTCTTTGGTAGATATGTTGTTCCAGGACCTTTCTAACCCCATCCAGCCAGGTTTTTCTTGGTCTTCCTCTTGATTTGAAACCCGATTTTCGGGTATTGTAAACTCTGCTAGTTGTTTCTGGGGCAGTCTGGTTAGATGTCCAAACCATTTGACTCTTTGATGCTCTATGCATTTTTATTACTGGTGGTATTCCGGTTTGTAGACGTATGGTTTCGTTTCTTATGCGGTCTCTTCTGGTGACGTTGATGGTTTTGTGGAGACACCTCATTTCGCATGCATTGATTTTTCTTTCTTGAGCCTTGTTTAGAGATCATGTTTGGCACTACATGTAGTATGTTAAGGTTGGTATGAAGATGCTATTGATGAGCTGGGATTTCACTTCCGTTGGGATGTTCATGTGACTGAGCAGGGGTGCCAGCTGGTAGGTCACTGCATTTGCCTCCATAGTTCTTATTTCTCTATTTCTTTGTTCATACGCCCATCTTGTGTAAAGATGCTTCCCAAATATTTAAAATCACCTTCTAGTTGGAGCTGTGTTAAGTCAATAAGGATAGTGAGATTCCTTGGGTTTCTGCTGACCTTCACTACTTCTGTTTTTGAAATGGAGATTTTCATGTTTAGGTGCCTACATTCCTCATTTAGTTTTGTGGTGTGTTTTTGTAATTCCTCTTCATCTGTATTTAATAAACTCTGGTCATTGGCAAAGCTCGTTCAGTTAAGTGATGTTGTCATTTGCTGCTTTCGTGATCTTATCCATGTAAGTGATGAAGAGAAGCGAAGAGAGAACACACCCGTGTCTCACCCCAGACCTGCAGATGGGGAACCAGTCCGATAATCCTTCTATTGATTTTCGATGCACAGTCTGTTTTTATTTATATAAAGTGCCATGATGTTCTCTAACATTTGTCCTGATTCATCATATTCCTCTAAGACTTCTCAAAGTTGACATCTATTTACACGGTCGAACACCTTTTCCTGGTCCACCAAGACGATATTGAGGTCTTTGCCATATGCAATAGCTGTCTCACACAACTATTTTAATGCAAAAATAGCGCCAGTACACCCCCTGCCTTTCCTGAAGCTAAACTGGGATTCACTGAGTTAAGTCTCTACAACTGGTCTCATTCTCATCTCCAGTATCTTGGCAAACATTTTACCCACATGCATACATAATTATATATTATACATATATAGTATATATATATA